CCAAAAAATAGCCGGGCGTTGTGGCGGGCGCCTGTGGTCCCAGCTACTTGGGAGGCGGAGGCAAGAGACTCGCTTGAGCCCAGGAGTTTGAGGTTGCTGTGAGGCTCTGTCTCAAAAAAAAAAAAAAAAAAAAAAAAAAAAAGAAAAGAAATATATTACATAAATATTATATATATATATATTACAAAAATGCTCCCTCCCTGTTAATTCATCTGATGAGGATGTTTATGTCCTTTAGTATTGATCACAGTGACACTGTGAGGACCCCTTTGCCTTTCCAAAACTTAAGTAGAAATTACTTTTAACTCTGAGGATGATTTTTCAAAATCAGCTTTGTAATTTAATGCTCTGTTACTGCCTTTTAGCTCTCCTCTCCCTTTTTGTCTTAATTTTCCCTTAAGGTTCCAGGGGAAATACCAATCACATGTTTTGTATTTTACTTTTTTCCACTTTTGCATGGAAGTTAAATCAGCAAGTGAGCTCGAGGCCTTGGATTTAGAGTGTTTATTGATAGAATGCCATCCCTCTCCTTGTATGAATAATTGGGTGTTGACAGGAGCAAATACTGAGCTTTCAGGCTTGTAGCTGGGCACCACTAATGTGTCACCCTTTTCTAGAAGTATTTGTTGGTAGTGAGTTGCATAGCAATTTATAAGCCAGTTGCATAACAGTAAGGGTTGCCATCATGTAAAAATTCTTAATTATTGCTAGAACTCATCAAAGGTGAATATTTGTCACAAAGGCCTGGTGAAGGCCTTAATTCTTTAGATTGGACAGGATCATATCCGTGATCCTTTCCTTCTATAGGTTAGAAAATTGAGTCCTGACTCTATTCGGCAGTTTGCTTAAGGTCCCACAGCTAGTTAGCCGGATCAAAACCAGAATATAATTTTAATAACATTATACTACAAGTTCTTTGTACTTTACTTTCACTTAATAAAGTTATAGATTCTTTCTTTTCAAAATGCTTCCAATGGAGATAATGTATAATAGAATAAAGCATCATTGAATATTACATAGTTATATATGTGTATGTATAAAATTATATAACATAAAAATGAGATGAAGTTGCTATACTATTCTAAGGCTTGACTGGACTAAAGATCAAATATGTTGTAATCAGATTTCAGGTAACAGAAAGTAAACTGAAACTAGCTTACACATACGGGATCTGAAATATATATTATTATTTCTCAAAGAGTATGGAGATGGGTACTTCAGGAGTAATCCAGTAGCTCACCGAGGTTGCCCGAGACCCAGTCTCTCCCAACCTCTCCCCTCTGCTATTCTTGGTCTGTTGGCTTGACCTTTGGGTTTATCACTAATGGTTAAAAGATGGCTGCCACCTAAGTATCTGTCACACAAAGACACGACAGTGTCTGAACCCAAAATAGGAGAGTGTATTTCCTCTCATTCTTTTCTATAAGTAAAACATTCCTGGAAGTTTCCCAGGAGACCTCTCAGCCTTCATTGGTCACACAAACACTTGCCCAGCCTAATCCTGCAGTTGGAACAGAAATGCCTCAGCGCTGTCTGGAGAGTTCAACAGAACACAGATCGCTGCTTTCCACCCCCAAGGTTTCTGTTTCAGTAGGCCTGGAATGGGGCCCGAAGGTCATCATTTCTAACCTGTTTCCAGAGGTCTGCTGACACTGCTGGCCAGGCCTGTGCCTTGAGTACCGCTTAGATTACTATGGTCAACAGATACATCCCTGGGGGTAGGGAGGGAGTCGGGGAGCACCTGCCTCCAGGGTCTGCATAGTCCTGAAAAGGTTAGGCTAAAGGTGGGTGGACGACCAGTAGTCTCCACCATGGCTATAAGTTGCTGTAGATATTAAGTATTGGTTTTATTTTTCTTGTTCCTCGAATATTTACTATAGACAAGAAGCTTTAAAATGTATTTGCTGACTGAATTATTTGCTCAGGTATAAAGATATGTGATTAAACTTGCGAGTCACAAAGCTGCTTTTTTTAATTATTTTATTTTATTGCCTGGCCAGAAATTGTGTCTTGATTACAGTTACACTTCAGGAGGCCAAGTAGGCAAGAAAAAAATACCTGATACTCATCTGGCATTTAGAAGAAAGGGCTGAGTGATCGAAAAACATTCGTTGTTCCTCTGAGGGAGTCGTAACTAAGGAGAAACAGATTTGACTAGAGATCAGAGAATTTCACACGTCTCAGTAATTTAAACTCAGCTATGTTCAACATAGTTTTCAGACATTTTTTTCTTAGGATTATTACAAAATGAGTTATTTCACAATTCAGCAGCAAACAGTTTTAGGAGTAAAAATTTGTTACTATTAATACCTAATGCCATTTTATCATTATTATTATTATTTTTTTTAACAGAGGGTCTCAGTTGTCCTGGGCAGAGTGTCATGATGTCATAGCTCACAGCAACCTCAAACTTTTGAGCTCCTGTAGTCCTCTTGGCTCAGTCTCTTAAGTAGCTGGGACTACAGGTTTCTGCCACGCCACTTGGCTAGTTTTGGCTAGTTTTTCTATTTTTAGTAGAGATGGGGGGTCTCACTCTTGCTCAGGCTGGTCTTGAACTCCTGAGCTCAGGCAATCCTCCCACCTCAGCCTCCCAAAGTACTAGGATTACAGGTGTAAGCCACCGTGCCTGACAGATTTGTCCTCTTTCAGTGTGTGAAATATTTAGAACAGTATGATAGAAACTGTCTTTGGGGGGGGGAGACAGTGCCTGTGGCTGAAAGGAATAGGGCACCGGCCGCATATACTGGAGGTGGTGGGTTCAAACCTGGCCCCAGCCCAAAAAAAAAAAAAAAAGTCTTTTTTTTAGACAGTCTCACTCTGTGGCCTAGATTAGAGTGCCATGGCATCAGCCTAGCTCACAGCAACCTCAAACTCTTGGGCTCAGGTGATCCTCTTAGGTCAGCCTCCCCAGTAGCATGGGACTACAGCCGCCTGCCACAACACCCAACTAGCTTTTTCTGTTGTTAGTGGAGATGGGGTCTTGCTCTTGCCCTTGCTCAGGCTGATCTTGCACTCCTCAGCTCAAGCAGTCTGTCCACCTCGGCCTCCCAGAGTTATGGATGTGAGGCACCGTGCCTGGCCAGAAAGTGTGTCTTGATTACAGTTATGACATTCACAGAAAAAAAATTGTGTCAATCTTAAGACTTGTTTAGAGCATAATAAATGTGCCTGTTTATATTCCAGTAAGACTATTTGGCTGTGGCTCGGCGCCTATGGCTCGGCCGGCTGAGGCGCCAGCCACGTACACCTAGGCTGTCGGGTTCGAATCCCCAGCCCGGACCCGAATCCCCAGCCCGGACCCGCCAAACAACGATGATGGCTGCAACCAAAAAATAGCCAGGCGTTGTGGTGGGCGCCTGTGGTCCCAGCTACTTGGGAGGCGGAGGCGGGAGACTCGCTTGAGCCCAGGAGTTGGAGGTTGCTGTGGGCTGTGATGCCATGGCACTCTGCCCAGGGGGACAGCTTGAGGCTCTGTCTCAAAAAAAAAAAAAAAAAAAAAAAAAAAGACTATTTGGCTGGCAGGAAACTAAGTCTTGTTTAAGTTGA